GTGGTGAATAAAATGGGAATACTCAGCTGTTTTTTTTTGACTCTACTTTCCTTCCAAGCCAAGTCCTCATATTGCCATTTCGCCCCTGGCAACATTCTAGGAATACATTTGTCATCTCGTAGGAACTCCATTTGTGAATTGGAGTAGAAACCATGAAGGAATCGTAACCCGGGATTATAACGCAGTCCCTAATGCATTGTGTAAGCAGCTCACTTAAAGATTGCCTGAGCCAGCGAACGAATTAGAGATCGTCCCGATCTTCATTTCCTATTATAAGCAGAGCGAATTAAAACTCCGTTTAATTGCAGCTATTAGACATCCCTCAAATCAACTCTTCTGTACTTAAATTCGACCATGTAACCCCACGAGCAGCATAAATGACCTGCTTAGGTAGTTACTATCAGCGAATCATGAAGGATTAAAATAATATCCTAATTTCTTGCCTCGCACTTGCCTTGAAGACGGATATCCATAGAAATTCTGACAGATGGCATTCCTCGGAACGAATTCAGTCCATCTTGGTAGCTATCGGTTAAATGAACCGAGTTGGAGTGGTTAATTTTTTCTGGTTCGTGCTAGTGCCTCTACAAGATCGTGGTCTTAGATTCCATAAACGTCTCTTCGCTTCTGGCTGCATTTCCGACTTGCTCAGATAGTTGTCTCCATGTAAAGCTCATATGTAGATTGAGAGACAAGTGTGAAGTGTGTCCTTTCCCCATTTGGGGACTATTAATTAATTTTGCTAACACACCCTCTGCTTAACCGTTTCTTGAACCAGCGGTTCCTATTCTAGAGTAATTACCAATATTATAGGGGAAGATTATCAACAAGTACTGAATAAATCTTCTGGATGGCATTCCTCATTAAGGTGGCCTCGGCCATCGTAGGAAGCAAAGAAATACAGCCCCTGAAACCTTACAAGCAAAAAGTTCTAGATTGCCCTGAAGCCAAGAATAGTGCCATGCCGAATATCCCAATCACATCGATAACCGTCCAATCCATTGTAATCATTTTGCAACCAATCCCTTGAACTTTCTCGAAAAAGCCATCTTTGATGTACGGACAGAGCTCACTTTCGGACCTGTTCCGCTCGCTCTTCTACTTCCTTCATTCTACCCTTTCCTCTCGGATTTTACTCTAATCCTGACTCTGTTATAGAGAGTTGTCACTGTCGGCCAGTTTTCTCGAGAAAATGGAGTTCCCACGAGATGACAAGTTAATCCCAAGTTGTTGCCAGGGAACAAATGACGATATGAGGACTTGGTTTGAGAGGGAAGCAGATCCAGAGAAAAACAGCTGAGCATTCCCATTTCATTCACCGCTGTTCTTTTATGATTCTCAGGCTGCTTTTACACATCAGCTTGTTGACATGGTCCATGCATAATAAACTAGAAACCAATTATGTGTGCGTTGTTCATTTTAGAGCATATACGAGAGCAGATGGGATAATCTGAAGTATTGAAGAGTGTAAGATGTTATGGTCATGACGGGAACAGAAAAGGTGAGGGCTGAGACATAAGGATTCAAGAATTTCCGAAAATTCAGCTCAATGGAACTGAAAAAAGCGTCTGTAGATCCCTTCAAGGTAATCACTTTGGTGTTGTCACCCACGCTACGCAATGCAGGTGATGTAGAATCCCACATCGATTCCCATGGCTCAACAACAAACTGTTGTGCATGTGAATCCGTTGGGATTTGCTACAGATTACATGTAGTATGTGAGTCAGATGAGAAACTCAGCGTAGCTCTCGTTTCCAAAGGTTTGAGATTGAATCCACCAGCCTATAGGTGGACTACCCCTGATTTAGGTTATAAGATAAGAGCCTGGGTAGAAGGCGGTTCTGATACTGGAGAGGAGATGAGAAGATAGGGCACTATTTACGCACACATAAACAAACTTAAAATGTCACAAGGTTGGCGACTTCTGGACAAAAACTCGGCTCTGGACGGGACACGTACTCGTCCTGAGGCGAAATACCAATCGCAGAAATTCTTTATTTTCTCCCTTACCTTCCGCAGATGCCCTCTTCCTTATCTTCCCCTCGCAGATGCCCTCCTCTCACTCCCACATCCCCTTCCGTGGTCGGAAACTTCCAAATTTTTCCAAGTTTTGCCAAAACAATGACTTACTTTGATCATTAACTGGAGATGCATTGGAGAATGCAAGAAGAACGATAGCACAAGTAGCAAGGAAAGCCAGCTCGACACCGTTCATATTGTACCTTAATGATAGCATACATGTAAGCATGAAAAGCGAAAAGGAAATGAGCTGATCGTAAAAAGTAAACATAAATGAACGACAAGAAAAACAACGACAAATGCCAGGAGATTACGATTATGTCCATCAAAGGAGTGTGGATGGCTGAATGGGTGGATAAATGATTTTCTCGACTTCTCCCTGTTGGGACGGTAAAAGTCCATTGGGGCCAGTAGTGTCAGTGCGAGGTAGAGTCGAAGACGTTTATTTTAAGTAGAGTTTTGAGTATAAAGGCTATTCAAAATTGCAAATGACTTGTGGTGCCTGTTAACTGAGGACTTGAGATGCGAATCATTTGGGTTAGGGAGGTATGGAAGTCGAAGTGCTACTTTCCTAGATGGTTAGGGTGGTGCTATTAGTACAAAAAGGCCAACAGACCACAATGTGCTACATTCAAAATCGCCGTTCCACCCAAGAAAACAGCCCCCGAAGCTTTACGTAAGCTCACATTCAAGAAAGGCAATTTCTCGAGGTATTTATTGGGGAATGACTTAATCGTTCAAGTTTCAACCGTTGTTCGGGACCAAATGGTCTAACCGTCATTACCCAAGTGGCAGACTCGACAATTTGTATGAGGAATAGACTTTGACGTGCTTAATTCTGCATTCAGTGTGATGAGTAAGCTATCGCTTCGATGTTGCAAAAAAACAAGTTTCTTCTGGAGAAGGAGCTGATTTCTATACATTCAACTGGTAAAAGGTCATATGTATGTGGTGGAAAAAATACAATGGGATTAATTAAGGCATTGTGTAGAGGTCTCCTGACGTCATGCCACTACTCCATCCAGATTTCCTTACTAGGAACAAACAACTCCTACTCAAGGAAATAGTGAATATAACAACATCAAGGAAGCACGGAACTTTCTAAAAATATTTTTCATAATCAAGTGCGCTGGCTCACAGCACCAACTGAACGGCTTACACTCGAGCCAGACACATTCTCACTTTCCCCAAGATTCATTGGTAGTTCTGAACTAAATATGAAAGGATGAATCGTGGCGCCAACACCGTTCGGCATACCCAAGTAGTTGCAGGGCTCAAAAACATTTCCAAGCCAGGTTTGATCAGAAGAAGAGTACACGGCGCATCTTTGAGGGAAAAATTTGGCGAAAACCCCTCTACAACTGAACCAACTCATCAGCTTTCTGACTCTCTTAGAGCCGGTAGCCTTTTTTCCCGACGTGTGATTCTACAATTGTCACTTACAGACCAGAATCTCATTGATCTCAAGCTCAGAACGGTAGCCTTCTTTCAAAGCTTTCATCAGGGTATAGAAACACTTGGGCGGAAAGTTCTAGCCTATGTAGGTGCCCTACATACGGTCTATATTACTCTTTTGAAATTGGTGATACTGAGGTAATATCATCAGAAAAAGGCAGTTTATTGGCTTCTGTTAAAGCGTACGGCTGAAGTTGTTTGATCTCCAGAGAGTATTTTCAGCAGTCTGCTCACTAGGTAACCACGAAGAAAAGAATTACATTAGTAGCCAGCGAGACGGGATGCTTTGTTGGGTAAGTCTTTGAAATGCACTTGATTTTTTGAAGCACAATAGCTCACGTTTAGACTACGGTTGCACTTCAAATGGCTTAGGAACCAGCCAATTTGGTTACTGTCTCAATTGCTCCCAACAGAAGTGGTACCAATTTATCGATACCATAGGACTTAGCTCAGAAAGTACCAATTCAAATGCTCGACATACATCTTTTAAAAGGGCATCTATTAAAGGGGTAATGCAGGTAGGATCTGACCCACCCTGAACTGTAGCGACTATGCTGGGGAGCCATTGAGAGCGGTCATCACAATTGAAAGTCTATAAATGCCAATCGGGCCCTCAACCTCTTATCAATAAACCCACGAAAGAGAGCTCACGAAACAATGTTGATCGAAAATAACAATGATACAAGCCCAACTATCCATCTGAAATCTGAAACAGAGTTATAAGTCTTCGCTGAGGCTTCTTGAGGCTCTAACTCTTTAAAGTTGGGAAATCGAATCTCTAACAAATAAAATCAGCAAAACACCATGAGAAGACAGTTTAATGAGTTACGATGGCTCGCCTAATCGGGCCAGATGGCCAACCTGGTGATTCTGTGGGAATTCTGCATAGAATTTGCTGAGATACGGTGGAAAGTTTCAGGATAGCTCTGATACTCTATGAGCAACTACTGGGTGATAGAAATACACAACGTAATGCTCCTAGATGATTTGAGTTAGCATTTGGTAGGATCTGATACATGGTCTCAGTCTCGCAATAATAACCTATTATGGTATTGAATATACGGGGAGTGATTATCGATTGCAGACGCGTAAAATCAATATCTATCTTTATATGAAATGAAATCACGATGTCTTCACCAGATGTCGCATGAGATTGTAAATAAATTCATAAATTCACTAAATCACGATGACCATAATTTCTCGATAAAATCATTAACTTGGTAACAAATCTTTAAAATCTGTCTGAGACTGGTAAGAGGATTTGTTTGCAGACATATAGCGTTCAATGTGGACAATAAGGGATAGTAGCGACTGAGCCAGCTTTCACACTTTGCACCGCCCCATTCGGGCATGCATGTGGACATGGATATCGATAACAATGCTGTGGGACCGATTCCCTCTATAGTTTGATACTTCTAAAATATTTCACGATTCAAGAGGTAAAAGGCGGCGATAAAGCAACCAGGCATGAGCTTACCAAAGCCTCAGGATAGCGGGTGGTATATGTAATTACGTAACATATGCTGACCTGAGTCTGGGAACGATGGCATAAAGTAATGGAGATTGTTTTAAAATTCATATTTAAGGGGAGTAAATAGGTAGAAGAAAGTAGAGAGAAACAGGTAGGGTCCAGCTGGCTTCGAAGAATGGTTAAATATCTCCAAGGGAACAAAACAAATGGTGGCGGGTTGACTGGAAAAGTTGTCGTAGGGATATAAATGGTGACTAAGAAGGTTAAGACCAAACAAATTGGGAATATAGGTTGTCTGAACTTGAGATTGTTGTCGATTTCCCATATATGAGCACGGTAGCAGACTTTTTTCCAATGAACACCTGTCATTTATTGTCGCTTTTTGAGTTTCTTGCCCATAGAATTTGTTCGCACCACAGTCTACGGTGGGCTATTGATATCCTCGTAGAGGTAGTCCGATGTGTTTATCTTTGACCGTAAATATCTAGGCTGTAGAAGTTTTTGAGGCAAAGGCTAGCCGAATTCTGAACCCAACGTCATCGCCACTTTGACTCGCTTGTGGATTTCTTTTTAATGGACGCATGATAAAACAAGGCGGGGGTTTTGTAGTGGCAAGTGGCGCACTACCTCACACGCACGGTCAGGGGTTCAAATCCCGCCTAGGCTAACCAAGCATTCCATCCCTCCGGGGTCAGTGAATTAGACCAGACTCGTCTGGGAGGATAAAAGCACTGACTTGTACATCGGCTGGCCAGGTCTTGTAATAAGCCACATACGCACTCATTACGCCACTACGATTCTGAATGGAAGTCGAGTGCGGGGGCGCATCTCTCAGACGGGATTGATTAATGCCAAAAACTTTATCCTTCTACCCTTTATGATAAACGTTTTGACGAACGACAACTGCAGTGATGTACATGTAGTTCTGTGTAGACGTTATATTTTTGATTAATAATGTAATATTGCATAATTCATATCTAATTTATCTATTGCACATATCGTTAATGCGATGTATTCTCGACTTTGATTGGATGTAATGAGCCTTTTTGAAGCATTTTGATCTGATAAAATGAAGATTAGTGGAAACGGAAAAGGAAAATTACATAATAATATCGAAGTGCATTCAGAAGCATAGTTAACAATAATTTTCGGAGGTACCCTAGTTCAGAAGGAATTATGGATGGGAAAGCCCAGAACAGTGCCAAAGTATAGAAGAAATCGCGATAATCGCCATATGTAGAGAGATATAAAGATTTGAAAAGGGGTATTTGGACGAGCTGTCCAAAAATGTGTGCACACCTGGTTACAGTAAGCTACTTGAGTGCAATGTGTGCGTTCTGGTGCGAAAGTGCAATCCCTACAGCTTCTACAACACTATGAAATCTCGTGTGTGTGTACGTCGGCTATGCAGGGTTTTGGGACCGTTTTAGGCCGTTCTTCGACCCGACAGCGTTTTTTTCCTATCGTATGGAATCAAAAGTTAATCACAGAGAAAAATCTCGAAAGCGCTTTTATCGTGAATTGTGCCTTTAATGGACGCATGATCAAATTGTTCAACGAACGACAATTGCAGTGATGTATATCTTGTTCTGTGTAGACGTCATATTTCTAATTGACAATATTATATGGCATAATTCGTCTCTGAGTTGCCTATTGCATGAAATGGGCACTGCAATGTATTCTCAATCTTGTGGGTAATGTGGCTTTCATGATAATGACCGGATACCGTGAAATTTAGCAGGAAAGGGGAAATTATAGATAGTGTTGATTATTTAAATTAAGCGGATCAACAGATAGATTTTTCTGGGTACATTAATTGTCTCTACCGCAGAATAGCAGATGGAGTCTACAGGAGCAAATACCTACCTCCTATTCAATAGATTCTGTGCCATAAAAGGATTAACTTATTCCAAAGGAGCGAGTGGGCGTCTTACCATGTCCCAGACGGTGATCAGTCACTAAGAGGGATGCGTTGAACGCTTTTCTTTCAGTTTTACCTTGTTCAGCCCTCTTTCACCTTCCAAGAAAGAGCTCACTCCTTTCCCTAAGTCAATTGTCGTAACGAAGAATTTCCAATTATGACCTTGGTTACCCTACTCCAGATAACTTTGTACCAACTACGAGCTAGGTAGAAAAGGTGCAGTCGCGATTTTGGTGTATATCGTATTTGTATTACATTACAAATTCCTACAAGTGCTTTTGCGGGGGGGGGGGGGGGNGGGGGGGGGGGGGGGGGGGGCACTATCACAGACTAACAGTCCGGGGATCGG